GGTGCACCTCGCTGCAGATGGTACCTCCAGATGCATCAGTCCTAGCACGTGGGCTGAAGCTGTTAACTACCTCTCACTTGGACCAGTCGCCCGATGCATCGTTCAGAACAGCTATGGTTCGTACAAGTCTACGGCTTGATGGGCAACCCCGGATGCAGGATGTTTACTCGTACCAGCGTCATTTACAAGCCGAGGTGGAGAACATGTTGGCAACCAGGCCGGCTACCTCAACAGCAACCACCCCCACGGCAGCCGATGGTCCCAAGTTGCGGGCTCTCACACAAGGGGACCGCGACAAGGACAAAAGCAAGGGCAAAGATAAGGAGAAGGGTGAGCGACCTGCAGAGCAGTGCAGATACTTCATGAAACCCACTGGTTGCAAACGGGGGTCGAGATGCACGTTTTCGCATAGCATGGCAACGTTAGACAAAGAAACCAGAAGCCGGAAGTGCCTATCCTGTGGCGCCGAAAGCCATAGGGCGAAGGACTGTCAGGTTGGAAAACAGGCACGGACAACCTCTACATCGACACCGACCTCTCCCAAGGAGCAACGAGGCCAGCGGGCTGAGACGCCAAGTATAGCGACTATGTCAACGGCCACCCCAGGTTCAACAGTGGACTCTACATCCTCTGGTACCGTGTGTGGCACCCCTTGGACGTTGGAGAACTTGATTCAGGCAGCCCAACAAGTGGTGCAGAGTCAGGGCCAATCCCAGAGCGGGGACAGCTCACCAGAGAAGACGAAGGCGGAGTTGAGGACTTTGGTGGTACGTGATGTGAGGATAAGCAGTATGAGTACGGCCTCTGCAGCGCTCTTAGACTCGGGGGCAACGCATTGCTTGCGCAACGCCTACGACGACCTGGAGTGGAATAACAGTGAGAGCGTGATGGTGCAGTTGGCTGGAAACAACAAGCTTGTTATGAAGTTGTCAGACTCAGGATCGCTGTTGATGCCGCCCAGAACAACCTCAGTGACTACAACAGAAGGAGTGGGCGGTGGTCAAACAATAGTGCCTATGGGAGAGCTCGTGAGGACCTTGGGTTATACGCTAATCTGGGGCCCCGGCGAATGTTACCTTGAGGATGGCGAAGGCGCTCGCACGGCTCTCAATGTTTCTACTGGTTGCCCACAGCTATGTGAAGCAGCAGCCCTAGCCCTGATATCCAAGTTAGAGGACAAAAAGCGTGAGAGGCTGGAAAACGAGACGATTACAACCCTCGACGCGGTGAACCTCGCGGCCTTGAACATGGATAAGAGTTGGTGGGACTACGTCCGGGAGTATGCGGAATCGGGAAGCAAGGAGGCGGCGCTACGTGGGTTGAGAGACGCACCGTTCCTACAAGGACTTCCGGGAGAATGCTTGGGAGGCTTAGTGCCCGAGGATGTGAAGGACGCCGGATGGAGCCTTATGAAGAAGGTGGACTTCTTGACAAGGGCGGCAGAAACGGAGAATGTGGACGGCCAAGAGATGGATAGTGCATCTTTATGCGGGAAATCCAGGCCACTACCAGATGTTCCAGTTGGACGAAGGGGACACGATGGTGATTGAGTTGGACCTGGATCGCAACAAGGCTCACGATGTTCTTCGTGATTCAACCTGGAGGTTGTTAATGTGGGGTGCAATGAATGGGCGTATTGATGCAATAGTTGGAGGACCTCCGGGACGAGCTGGATTACCAGGCCCAGACCACAAACAATCAAGGCAAGACATCCGCAACATGTCCCTTATTGCACGAATGCTTTGGTTGTACTCTGTGGCAGAGGCTGCTAGAACTACCTCATCTACTACCACTCACAATCGACAGCGACCAGCGGCCTTCATCCTGGAGCACCCTTCGGAGGATGCTCGGAGAGGGTCGTCAGGGTCCTCAGTGGCGCTGTGGTCCTTAAGGCTGTGGAAGGACTTCGAGGATTCCATGGGAATGACCAAGGTTACGTTTGACCAAAGGATCACTGGAGCATCCACCACCTTACGTACTACCCTGGGAACCAATGTCTACTACCTAATGGGCCTAGGTGACCTTACAGGTGAAGAACACCACGAGGATGCTGGGGAAGGCAATGGTCCGCTTATGGAGTGGTCTGCAGGGCTGGTTCAGGCAATCGTGATGGCATTGAGGTTCTGGAAAAGAACTCCAAAGCAGACGCCAGGCCTTGCAGCAATGTCAACGGCACAATGGCGGGAACACGTCAACTCAGGCCACGCCAAGTACCACAGGGACTGTCTTACCTGCGTGATGTCCAGAGGCACCGGCAAGCGACATGGACGAGTGAGACACCCAGACACGTTTACATTGACAACGGATGTGGCAGGGCCTATAAAGCCAGGATTGGACACTACGTCAAAGGGGACAATGGGAAAGGGATTGCGTTACTTTTTGGTGGGAAAGTACACTTTGCCGCGGGAGTTTGTGAAGAGCTACTCAGGCAAGGAGCCACCGAAAGATGATGGAATGGGAAGTTCAGAGCAGACAGCGAGTTCGGCAAGGCCAAGTGGCGAGGAACTTGTTGAACCTTCTCTACTA